ATAACTTGTCTCGTGGTGAGTCGTGCCAGGCTGTGCCTGGATGCAGGATGATTGCTGCATTTCCTGGTGGTGTGAGGAGGAAAACAGCTAATGTGAAAGTGTGGGAGGTGCAAAGAAATCATGTTTTCTTATAACAGTAACTGCGATTGAGGCCACAGTTAGCCACAGGAAACTATCCACCCACATAGGTCGATAGACAATTCATTGTGCGTGGCTAATAGGAGCTTTTGCCATGCCAGGACATACGTTTACTTAAGGCGTGGCGGAAGCTGCCCTATAAAGGAGAACGGGGATGGTGCCAGCCTGTCTGTCACTCTGTTGGTGTTGGCCGGAGAGTTACACCGGAGGCATTGCAGGTAAAACATCACTTTGCTGTTTTACTTAGTACAAGATGACGCAGGTGAAATACAAGTAATAGTGCTGGAAAAGCACCACAGCCACGTTGAGAGGGATTTGGCTTGGGGAGACAGAATAAATTAGACTCCCCATCCTTAATGTTACCTGGAGGGAAAGAAAAGATGAATTTGCTGTCCTTAGAAGGAGCCTTACAGTAAAACGGTAAGTTGTCAGAAGTAATTGGATCAAGTGGGAGTGGAGATCCTAAGAGGAGGAGGAGGACTCTCTAGTTACTGCGTGCTGCTGTTAAATGAGGTAGAAAAAAGGTATCTGGAACTGTCCTATGCTATGTATGCAAAACTAGGAGAAAATTGACTTAATAAATAGCCAGAAGGGAGTAGTTCACAGACTGTTTGGAACAGAAGGTCATGCAAGATGCCACTGGGAAAGTAATCTCCTGGAGGGTTGCCAAAGTGCCTGGCTTTGGTTTTGATTTTCTGAGGTACTCAAGGCTTTCGCACATTGTATGTACAAGGAGCTGTTGTCCGTCTGGGGTTTGGGATGGCCAAGTTCAGGTCCCTGCTCTGCCTCTGCAGTTTGCTGTCACTGTGGGCAAGCTGCTGAAAAGCAGCAGCAGAAAATTTGTATCTTCTCTGAATGCAAGGAGAGCTAATAAACTCATGCTTTCTTTGATTATAAGACAATTCTGGAACTGAGTCCTCAAAGTTTTTATAATGCTCCAAATACATGAATGACAGGGTCTTAGAGGGAATGAATGCCTGCAGTACTGTAGCTATATTGAATATTATGGGTGAGATGAAATGTACATTGATAGTTTGGAGTGTTTGAGAGGGAACAGGGGAAGAAGGGCTGCTGGATTTTTGGCTTTTCTGGTATTCTTTGTAGTGTTTGAGAAAATTCAGCTGCTGTTCCTAAAGTACAGAAACCCAGCTGAGCCAACATGTAATGGAAGTGTTTTGGGAAAACTGGTGGAGAGGAGAAGGTGGATAGTTCAGCTAGGAAGTAGACACATGTTTCTAATTGCCTATTTCCACTTTCTACTCAGTGAAAAATATGAGAAGCCATTGAAGGAAATTATGTCTGTACTCTGACATAAATCTTTATGCAAAGTGCAATTAGCATTTAGTCAGTAGCATTTGCCACCATTGAGTACCTGATTATAGTAGTTGCTTGACATCTTTTGTGAATGACTGCTGGAGGCAGATGAGACACACCCTTTGCTGCTAGCTTTTAAGCTATTTGATGCAGAAAATGGTGGGTGCTTGGGGTTCCCAGGTTAGTTTCTGCGGGGGTCACCAAACTTTTTGCTCTGATATCCTCAGAGACTCCCCTTTCCTTCCCATCCCTTCCAGCTTGTCACACCTGATCTCTTTTTCTCCTTCTCTCTGTAGCTTTTCCACTGCTCCCCTTCCCTTCCTCAACCTTTGTCATTGACCCTCCCTCTGAGACAGACAGCGAGAAGAAGGATCTCTCTCGGCTGAGAAGGAAGAGGGACGAAAAAAGAGCAGTAGATGCAAAGTTGGGCGTGATTCCTTTCTCCATTTCAGGCAAGTAAATGTGTTGGTGGAGATCCCAGGACTAACTAAATGTATGTTTAACCCCTTCTGACTAATAATTTCCTTCCTTAGTTGAGTCAGTCTCCTGTTTTTCTCCAGTGTTGCACAATATGTCTGAAAGAGCTTTTGTGAGTGTTTGAAATCTCTCCCTCTCTCCCCAGGTCTTGTGGCAGGGAACAGTGCAAGGGCAATGCCTCTCAGACCCACTGCATTATAACTTTGTCCCTTTAAAGTCTTTCTGCCTCAGAGTTCAGCAACGGTAAGAAGCTCCCCAATCAGGCAGGCAATATTCTGCTTTTAAAAGCTGTTGTGGTCTTTGCTGTTGCTGATGCACCCGTGAGAGCCAACCTGTGGCCAGGGCTCAGGTTGCTGCTCCGAAAGAGGTGGCCAGCAGAGCGTGCTGGTGCGGACAGGACAGTGCTAGCCCGGTGCGTGTGACCCCATGGACTGCCTGCGCAGTGGCATGGATGGATGTAGAGCTCATGTATCTGTGCATGCGTGCATCCAGACACAATGCTGATGAAGTTATTCCTGCAAGGGAAAAGTAGTTAAGTGTATTATTTTCTTCAGTCTGGTTGCTAATTTATTCCGGATATGTTAAACAATGTAATTAAACACACACACACACACATGCTAAAAACTCTTGTTCTCTGTCAGAAGAGAGGGAACGCGTGTCAGAACCAGGCTTCAAGCTCTGTTAGTTTTAATTTGAGTTTTGGAATTAGTAATCAGTTTTGCTGGAACACTGTTGCAAGAAATAGATCTTAGGATGCATGGGGCCTGGGCACAGTTTCAAATGAGTATTTGTTAAGAAGAAGCCATTCCCTTGTCGTGTTATGGTACATTACATGAGATTTATTTCTATTGTATTAAAAAATGCAAGCCCAAGGGGAATGTTCTCTCTTTTTGCTGGCCGAGGGTGATTTCTGAATTCCATTTGATTTTTTTTATGGGGCTTTTAATTAAAACAAGAAGATGCAAAACTACTTATTTTTCTAGGCTGTTGTTACAATGTCAGGAGGCCAAGCGACTTGAAGCACCAAGAAAGGTGCTTTTTACACTAAGTAAAAAGTTGGGGGGGGCCTGTATCATACCTTCAGTGTGACTGGTCTGTGGTTTTCACGTGTGTGAACGATTCACAATAAAAATCAGAGGCTTTGCTCTTACTGGAGCCATCTGCTCTCTTTGTACCGTACCAGGAACATATCAGATCTACTGTTTGGTAAGAAAAGAGCCCTTTAATCTACTCAAAAAAAAAAAAAAAAAAAAAAATGAAAGCTATGGCATCTGGTGGCTTGAAACTGAAACTAAGTGACTTCAGGCTAGAAATTAGCACAGTGAAATTAATTGACTATAGGAATGGCTTGCCCAGGGCATGTGTTGGATTTTCCGGTGCTAATTTATGAGAAGGTTCATCTTAAGTGGAAGCCAGGAGCTAGGAGCAGGAATCGCTGGATCAAGTGCAGTGGCATCTGTCATGCAGGAAGCCAGAGGAGGTGATCACAGTGATCCTTCTTGACCTTAAAAGTCTGCTAACGCAGGACTTCACCAGGGGCTTCTCTTTTCATAAGGAGAGGGACAAAAGGGGAATTATAGCTCAGGACAGTTAAAGTTTTGTTTTTGTGAGGACAGGTGCAAATGAAGAGTGAAAGCTGGCGTGGATCTCAAGTTATATTTTGACCCAGCAACATGTAATTTTGCATGACAAAAGGTGCTGGAGGAACCGGGAGGCAAGGGAGGCTGAACAGCCTTCCTGCTACTTCTCTGAACCCTGAACTCCACAAGAGAGCTTTTTAGCTGAAGGAAGATCCCCAGGAGATGCTGCACACATGTGCATCTCTCCGTACATCCATGTGGCTCTGGGGAGTGCACCTGAAAGCCCCTACTCCTGTTAGACAGAACAAATTGCTTTTTTAAAGCTCTGGTGCCACTGTCCAAACATGCAAGTTTTCTGCCTTCCTGTGCTTTTCTACTCATATCTCAAAAGCCCTCCCACCCCACAGTCCAGTGTCTCCATGGACATGCACTGCCTCCCTTTGGAACAAAAGTAGATCTTTGGTGGTAAGAGTCCTGCTATGCTCTTTGATGACTATAAAGGGGACAGAGTCCACAACAGGAGATTTTATCTCCTGCATCCTTCCGTAGCTGTGCCAGCAGATGTATTAGCAGGTCTGTCCATTCTAGGGTTTCACTGCGTGTGTGAAATGTTCACTTTTCCTAAGTGAATTGTCCCTTTCCTTTAGACACATTAACAAGGAGGGGTTCGAACATGCTCCAGGCTGGAATAGCTACAGATGCCATGCAATGACTGCCCAGTTTAAATATGAATCTACAATTCAGATCTGTTTAAACACTGGCCTCCAGATGAACTACTGAGTCCAAAAACCCCAGACCTTGGTGCGCACTCATGTGAGCCAGTAGTGCAGGTGGGATCCAGCTCTGGATGTTGCAGCTTAGTGCCATCTCAGCACTGTAGCTTTAGGGAGTCTGGTGGAGCGTTTGTGTAAGCTGGTAGGAAGCCACCCCCTAATCTGTCTGGGGTCTTTGGAGCAGATCCCAAGGAAAGGCAAGTCTCTGCCTTCTTTAGGTCTCACAGGGAGTGACTGTCAAGCACTCACTTTTGGAAATGAAATAAATAACTCAAAAAATGCCCTGGGCACAGGTGTGATCTGTGGCCAGAAGAGTCCTGGGTACCTCTGAGCAGCCTCCCTGCTTACACCACCTCCCTCCTCCCCTGTGTCTGCAGCTCCTGCTCCATCCCCTACGCTTGCTTATGTTGCAGATGTACCTCCATGCTAACACAGCGGCTCGCTAACAGCTTTGCTCTCTGTCCTCAGGGAAGACTCAAAATTGAATTTGTAGCAGTGACAGCACTGGTTTAAGATAAACCAGTTGGGATTTGATAACTA